AAAAAAAAAGCTCCGAAAACTTGTAAAAGGTTTTGTATAAAATCAGCATTCTTGAAGCCGGGTTACACCATTTTGCAGATTTCTTCGGGGATTATTTATTCAGCGCCTGATTTATGAGAACTCTACGCTGACAGTTCGTAATTCCCACTAAGCGAGTATTTCGCTCCAAACTGTGAAATCAAGTTGAAGTAAGCCCTGCAAAATAATTCCTAAAAACTGGCGAAAGACACTGAAGCAAGAGAGTTATAAACACGTTAACGATCGGGCCATTTTAGGTGAATTCCCAATCATGTTTTTTCGAGCATTTGGTTGGTGGTGCATATGCGCATTTGCACAAAATCATTATGTAAAAGTCTTTCTGCTGCTTATTCATAAGACCTGCAAACTTCATCTAGCAATGATATATCCATGACACCAAACCGTTTTATTTATATAAATTAGGTTTTGGTGCTCGCGCCGATGTTCTGTTGCATTAAGCCACATATAAAATCACCCATTCTGACAATAAAAAGGACCGCGTTTCTTCTACGCCGTGATGATTAAGTGCACCCGGAACTTTACGACCATTCACGTTAACATACCTCTAACACTTGCCTCCCCTTTTTTGATTGATGAAAGCGTTCACCGCGGCTGATTTTGGAGATATTCTTCTGTATCAGGGGAGCTTTATCAGAGATCTGTGGTTCGTCTGCCTCAGCAAAGCCAACAGGGCCAGAAGCGCTAATGGCAAACAAATCACGATCGGGCGCATCCGAGCCCGGCCGCGACGTCATCACCGTTGGAGACAAAAACCTGAAAAAGCATGCTGTAAGGCGGAAGTGTGACGAGAAAACGCTAAAGTACCATTCGCTTCGACTTCGCATCCGTCGAGCTTGATTTTCATGCACCCAATCCAAAAAGGAAATTGACCGCGACGAGTCGCCTCCACAGGCGGTCACGGGACGCAAAAAATCAGAGCCACATCGTTCTGGGTCGATAACCTCGGTCTCGTGCAAGACCTGTAAAGAAGGTGAGATGAGAGAGCCAAAAATTACTTTGTAGTGTTTT